AAGGCATTTGATTTATCCTACCAATGCTCCAATGTAATGCTATTTTGCAGCGGTTTCCTTTGATCTTTTCTCGCCCTTTTTCTTTCTAATATTGCTTTGATTTTATTTCTTGAATGGATTTGTACATTTTGTAGTGAACTGCATCTGGATATAAGGCAGAGAGATGGGGAATAAATAAATACAGAAATCGGTCTTGAATATATTGCAGACTTGCATATTTTATCCTCTTCATCCATTTTGTTTTCAATGGCAGAAACTTTGTTCAAACACTGAATGTAGCTATTGTCATAAAATAACATTTGTGTGTGTGTGCACGTAAGACATAAAAAAAAGGTAACAGTACACAAGCAGTTGAGTTATACAGAACATCTCTGTTATTGCATATACTTCTGATTAGTTAATGGTAGGCAGACCTCAACCTTTTCTAGCCTCAGACAAGACTAAACAATGAAGAATATTTTCTCTTGCCTTTCATTCTTATGTGATGCTTGTCTGCCCTGTGTCCTTTGTGGTGCCCTACTTCTAAGTTTCTCTCTCTTCCTTTTACGTGCGGTTACGTGTTTTCATTTAGCCAGGAAATGCTGCACCAGGAAGTAAGACTAAATTCTTGCATTGTTTTTAAGACACATTCACACAAGAGTGACATCATCAGGAAGTTGGAGTGAATATAACAGAGAGACAAAAGTGCTGTGCCTGCAACTAGGGGAAAGGGGGGTTATTCTGACTGAAACCTCTTTATCTGCAAAACAGACCATCCAAGTGTCCCTATTTTCCAGGTTCAGTCCTGGATTTACAGAAGCCATCCCAGTTCCTGATTTGATCCTAGAATTAGGATGTCCCTATTTTCAGCAGAGAAATGCTGGAGGGTATGGAGTTATGCAACCCCCAAGCCAAGGAGATAACTAACTATACAACCTTTAGAAGACATCTGAAGGTATAGGGAAGTTAAAAACAACAACCGGTGAATGTTTTATTATTATTTTACATATGTTGGAAGCCACCCAGAGTGGCTCGGACAACCCAGTCAGATGGGTGGGGTATAAATTAACAACAATAATAACAACAACAACAACCATTATTATTTTATTAAGAACATCCCTATTTTCATCAGAGAAATGTTGGAGGGTATAAAGCAATTAGAAAATAAATTTAAAATCATGCAATGTAATTGGCTACAAATCCACCAGTCTTACACTTTGCTCACCTGCAGACCATTCAGCAAGAGTCTAGAGAGCATATTCTCTATGAATCTTTAGTCTCATAGAGGTGTAGAATTCATATTATTGCCTACCATCCCGATCTCTAAGCAGTGCAAGATTCCTGGGGTTTCAGGCCCATTTACCCAGGGTTTATACTTTGAGTAGCTGTCTACCAGCCCTACTTGGTACGCAGGCCGAGACCCTACCTGCCCGCAGACTGTCTTGCCAGAGTGGTGCATGCTCTTGTTATCTCCCGCTTGGACTATTGCAATGCGCTCTGCGTGGGGCTGCCTTTGAAGGGGACCCGGAAACTATAACTAATCTAGAATGTGGCAACTAGACTGGTGACTGGGAGTGGCCACCAAGACCACATAACACTGGTCCTGAAAGACATAAATTGGCTCCCAATACGTTTCCAAGGACAAATCAAAGTGTTGGTGCTGACCTTTAAAGCTCTAAATGGCCTCAGCCCAGTATACCTGAAGGAGCGTCTCCACCCCCATTATTCAGCTGAGATCCAGCTCCAAGGGGCTGCAAGGGGCTGCGAGAAGTGAGGTTACAGGGAACCAGGCAGAGGGCATTCTCAATAGTGGCGCCCGTCCTGTGGAATGCCCTCCCATCAGATATCAAGGAAATAAACAATTATCTGACTTTTAGAAAACATCTGAAGGCAGCCCTGTTTAGGGAAGTTTTTAATGTTTGATGTTTTGCCGTGTTTTTAATATTCTGTTGGGAGGCACCCAGAGTGGCTGGGGAGGCCCGGTCAGATGGGCGAGGTATGTAATAAATTTATTATTATTATTATTATTATTATTATTATTATTATTATGGCTGTACTGCACACTACCTCCAAGATCAGAGGCAGCAAAGGGAACAATCAAAGGGAGAGGGCTGTTGCCCTTGTGTCCTGTTTGTGGGCTTTCCATAGTTATCTGGCTGGCTTCTGTTGAAACAGGATGTTGGGGTAGATAGGGCTTTGGTTTGATCTACCAGGGTTCATATATTTGCCTCATGCTGAAAACTGGCCGTATGAGTCCCTATCCTTTCTGTTGTCATCCAGTAACACACACCTGTTTCTGGCATCTAATCTTTAAATCTTCGCTTCTTGACATTTGAAGTGACTGCCATATATTTGGCAGAGGCATCATTGCTATGTGCTACTCTGACCAGACTGGCTTCTCAAGCAATAAGAATCATACTGATTTCTGCTCTTGGCATGCATCGCATCCCAAATCGGATAAAGGGAAGGGATAGGAAATACCTTTACTCTCCTGCAGACTCTATAGTAATTTTCTCTTTCTCTCTCTCAACATGATATAAGGCCAGAGCACACCCTATTAGCTAATATATTGGGTGATAGAATAGAAACAATATTGGAGGAATCTATACATCATGATCAGGCAGGTTTACTTCTGAGGAGACAAATGAAGGATAATATAAGAAATATCATAGATGTTATAGAATACTTGGAAGTAAGAAATGAAAATCAGGCAGCATTGATATTTATAGATGCTGAAAAAGCGTTTGATAATGTCTCATGGGAATTTATTTAAAAAGTCCTTGAAGAAATGAATTTTGGAGAAAAATTTTAGGAAAGGGATTCAAGCAACATATTCTGATCCAAAAGCCAAATTAATTGTAAATCGGGTGGTAACAGATAATTGTAAGATACAGAAAGGAGCAAGACTGGGATGTCCATTATAACCTTATTTATTTTGATTCTAGAAGTCCTGACGAGAAATATCAGGGCAGATGAAACCATTAGAGGAATTATGGTGGGGAAAAAGACATATAAATTAAAGGCATATGCAGATGACCTTGTAATTACAGTCAAGGACCCTAAGAACTCTCTTTCGAAAGTTTTAGAAAAAAAGTACAGGAATTTGGGCAAGTGGCAGGTTTTAAGTGAATAAAAATAAAACAAAGCTGTTAGTGAAAAATCTATCAAAAATGATAAAAAAGAACTACAGCAGAATATAGCAATAGAGATCCATAAAAAAGTTAAATAGCTAGGAATTTGGTTGACAACCAAAAATATTAACATTATTAAGACAATTATGAAAAAATTGGAACAAAATAAAAAGGAATTTAGAAATATGGGGAAGAATGAATTTATCATAGTTAGGAAGAATTGCAGTGATTAAAATGAGTGTATTGCCAAAAATGTTATTTTTATTTCAGTCAGTAGCGGTTATAAGTAATGCAGCATGCTTCAAGAAATGGCAAAGGGCTATTGCAAAATTTATCTGGAAAGGGAAGAAACCAAGAATAAAATATAAATTACTTATGGGCGTTAAAGACAGGGGTTTCTCCTTTCCAGATTTTAAATTATATCAGGAAGCTGCTTGCATTGCTTGGATCCGGGACTGAATTAAATTAGAAAATACAGATTTGTTAGACCTTGAAGGACATGATAACAGATTTGGATGGCATGCGTATTTGTGGCATGATAAAGAGAAAGTGCATAAAGGATTTTACAGTCATATAATCAGGAGATCACTTCTGCTTTGAGGTTTCTTTGTTTGTTTACAATCAAGCAGTGTATAAATGTTCTGTCGCCCGAGGTGGCCGCTTCACTCTGCCTCATGAGTGGGCCAGCCGGCTTTCTCCTCTGTAATAATGCAATCACACATACAGTTCCTAATAACACGTGTAAGTGTGGAATACCCCATCTCACCCGCAGACTGTTCACTTGTTCAAAAGCTTTGATGAGAAGAAGAAGAAGCTTCTTCAAAAAAACCAAAAGCTTCCAGCTCCCCTTTGCCAAATCGCCTGTCCGGGATCCATCCCGAAGAGCGTGAAACAGAAAAGTCATTTCAGGTGGCAGCGTCGTCTTGGCAACCGCAATCTCAGCCAGGAAAGGGGAAATTTTGTTGTTGTTTAGTCATGTCCATGACCCCATGGACCAGAGCATGCCAGGCACTCCTGTCTTCCACTGCCTCCTGCAGTTTGGTCAGACTCATGTTTGTGGCTTCGAGAACACTGTCCAGCCATCTCGTCCTCTGTTGTCCCCTTCTCCTTGTGCCCTCCATCTTTCCCAATATCAGGGTCTTTTCCAGGGAGTCTTCTCTTCTCATGAGGTGGTCAAAGTATTGGAGCCTCAGCTTCAGGATCTGTCCTTCCAGTGAGCACTCAGGGCTGATTTCCTTAAGAATGGATACGTTTGATCTTCTTGCAGTCCATGGGACTCTCAAGAGTCTCCTCCAGCACCATAATTCAAAAGCATCAATTCTTCCGCGATCAGTCTTCTTTATGGTCCAGCTCTCACTTCCATACATCACTACTGGGAAAACCATGGCTTTAACTATACGGAAAGGTGATGTCTCTGCTTTTTAAGATGCTGTCTAGGTTTGTCGAGGTGAAATTAGCTTATTTCAAAAATAAACATTCCAGTAGGAAAGAGATCAAAGGCCAAACGGGCTTTAAATTCAATGCATCGTTCTGTGGCAACGCCACACCGAATCCCACCTGCTAAGGCCGGGCTCGAACCGCCGAAGGCAACCATCTCGCCGGCAGAAGCCGGCGCTCCTCCTTCACGGGGCGATTCGTGCTAGTCCCGCCCCCTCTCCGCTACGATTGGACCGTCCATCCGCTTAACCCCGCCCCGAAACCGACACCGCCTTCTTCGGGATTGGCCCTCTCGAATCTCGGGGCGCCGAGCCGCCGAGCTTAAGGCATCTGGGTCCCGCCGTCCGGCTTGCCTTTCGAGGGCGTTTCCACTCTGCGCACCACCCCGCCCCACCGTGTCAGTGTAGTAATGCGCTCCGACCCCGCCCCGCCGTGACGTTCCCGCCTGTCATTGGCGGGCGCTTCCGGCTGCGTTTCCGGTGCGATATTACCAAGGCAGGGACGGGCGGTGGTTTGGTTTCTCGGCTGTTGGCCGCTGACTGACTGACTGAGCCGGCAAGATGGAGCGCGGCGCCGAGAAGCTGAGCGGGGAGCCCCGCGCCAACGGCTGCAGCCTCACCGGGCACCACGGCCTGAAGAACGGCTACGTGCGAGGCTTCCCAGGAGCGGAGCCCCACGGCCAGGTGAGGCGGGTCGACGGGGCTCCTCTGCCGGGCGCGCCCTGCTGCCGCTGCTAAGCGGCCCCTCCTCAGAGCAGAACCCAGGCCGCGGCCTGCTCGGTCCCGGCGCGCGCCTCAGGGCGAGGTTCTTGGGCTGGGCCGCGCTTGCCTCTGGCGTCCCCCGCAGTGGGGAAAGAGGGAGAAGGATGGCCTGGAGCGGCACAGAGGCTCCTTCGGCTGCCTCTTCCCGCCTGCCCTGCCCTCCTTGGCGTGGCCGAGAGGAACGCTCGAGGCTGGCAGAGTCAGGCGACTCCCCGCTCCAGGAAGGGACGGAGGGAAGCAAAAGTGCCTTTCCCTTTCCCTTCCTCTTCTTTTCCTCGAGGGGACGGGGAGTTAATCTAACCCGGAGCTGGCGTCCTTCCCTTCCCTTCCCTTCCTTCCTTCTCTTTCTTGGCGGCTTTGGAAGCCCAGGATGATTTCCGCAGGGACACGCACACTTCGTGTCTCGAAATTAACTCCCCTGGTTTCAGTAGCCGAATTTCCTCTTCGCATTCACGAAAGGAGGAGTACAGCGCCGGCCTTACTGGCTGCTTTCGTTGAGGTTTCCAGGCTAAGACAGCTGCTTACTCTCTTCCGGGGCTGGAAGGCGAGTTTCCTTCACCCCCATTCCAATGCATCCTGATTAATAAAAGATGGCACGAGGGCAGGCCTGTCACCCCCCCCCCAAAAAAATGGTCTTCTTTGCCGAGCTTCATATTCAGATCAAGGGGGAAGCCCCAGGACAGGGGTGGAAGTGGCAGGAATTAGGAGCAGAAGGGTAAGTTGTGGCCCCCAGTTGTTTGGTGGGGGGTAGGGATGAGAGTCCCGTATCTAACCTTCGATAAGCCGCGGGGCCAGGTAAGAAGGGGATCTGCCACCTATTTGATCCTCCTTATTTAACTGCATTCACAGCAGCCTGAAACTGTGTTTCTTCTATAGTTTAGTGGGCGGGGGGGGGGGTTTCACAGGGGTGCAACCCTCTGAATTTGGCATGCTGTGTGTGTGTGTGTGGTAAAACAAAAAAGAAACACAGAATTTCTAATTAAGGCCACATTCTGGTGCTTTATATAAAAGCCATGAATCCTGCTCCAGTTTACTGTGTGTATAACTTATTTCTGGAACTGATGCTTTAAATTGAAGTGTGTTTAGTAGTTGTACTACTTTTTATATCTTAAGATGTTCTGGCCATTGTTGACACTTAGTTTGGTTATGATTTATTGTGTTTTGCTGCTTTTCTTCTTGTAGCTTGATCATATGTAAGTTTATTTAGAAGTTAGACTTGCAGAATTTAGTAGCCTTCAAGTCTATCCTACATACACTTACTAGTGAGTAAACTTGCTGCCCTATTATTGTGTTTTGATTTGCTCTGTTTCACTTGTATGCAACGCTGACAAATGCTTACTGATTACTACTGCCGTTGTCTTCTGGTGACAATCACTTCATTGTACAAATTTTCTTTTATTCCTCAACAACCTTGTGAGGTATCTTGATGACCTTCGTAGACAACTTTTTTTTTTTTACTGGCCATCCATGAAGTCCAGTCTCACCATAATACTGCATTAGTACCACTGTATAGGCATTTTTTGACGTGATCTAAATTTATTCAGACTGAATGAATTAATATCTCAGACTTTGTATAAGTTCAGTGAACACATTGTTTTTAATATTTGATTCACTTCATGCCTTTTGACCTTTTCCATTTTGAATTTTATATGCAAACATATAATTTTTGTTAAAAGCCCAAATATTAAACATTTACAATAGGTGAGAAAACTATGCATTTTGGACATTCCTTATCCAGACATTTTTATTACAGAAATGAAGAAAACTACATGTTCACATGAAGCATGTGTTCTATGGCAGTTTGTACTGAGACCTGTTTTAATAGGCTACCTCAGGGGTCTGCAACCTTTAAGACAAAAAGAGCCACTTGGACCCGTTTCCGAAGAAAAAACAACAACTGGGAGCCGCAAAACCATTGCGACATTTAAAACAAATATAACACTGTGAACGGCTTACCGTGCTTGACTATTTCCTGAGCGGCTACAAAACTAGCATATGTTGTGGAATTTGCAGACCACCCAATTCTTGAAATTATTTTTGCTCCTATCAACCTTCCTCATAAGTTCTGCAATGGCTTTTCGTCTCTCATCTCCATCTGGATATTTTTCAGCAAAGGCTGTGTGTTTATTCTGGAAATGTCTCGCAATATTTGACTTTTTGTTGTTTGCAAATTTCTCACCACATATTAAGCATACTGGTAAACCAGTCTTGTCAGTAGAGAAGGCAAATGATTCTGTCCATGTATCATTAAACATTCTGTTTTCTTCAGAATTTTTTCTTTTCTTGCCTTTATCCATGGCTGGCCTACCGGGGGTCCAAAAGAGGGACGTAATTAGAAATCAGAGGGCCCCATAGCAAAATTTGCTATGCCCAATAATCAATGCCCCAAAATGCCATAGAAAATTAATCAGGGCCCCAGTGTACCATAAATCATAATCGGTGCCTGATGTAAATAATAATTAATAATGATGGCCCAATGTCGTCCTCGTCATTATAAAAATAACTTTTTCGACACTTTTTATTATTTTTTTGTTTGACCCCTCAGAATTACTCCTCCTCATAGAAATAAACGTTAAATTAACAAGTTACCTTTTTTTGAGTGTGTGTTCTTCACTCCCCTTCAAAACAGTGACCAGCTTACATGCCCCCTTTCAATGCAGCCTGCTTACAGCCCTCAACCAAAATGGCCGCTCCCGCGACTCCCACGTGCGCCCACAAAGATGGTGCCGACGATTTTCCCTTATCGATGCCCTTTAAAGAAATGGACGCTGCAGCTTCAACCCACGCCTAGAGGAGGCTAGAGAGGGAGGAAAGCGGGGAGGGGGGGGAGGAAAGCAGCGAGGACGGCAGAGAAGGACTGCCAGGAGTGGAATCCCACACACCGCGAGGGGAAGGAAGGGAGAGGGTGCGAGCTGGAACGGGGCAAAGAGGGTGGTCCCCGGTCATGCCTGGCCTTAAATGGGCTAGGCCACGCCTCCCCGGCCCCGCCGATTGGCGGGCAGGGTTGCAGGCACGCCCGGGGATTCCCCTGTTCTCGCAGGGGCAAAAGGCCAGCCCCCGCGAGTGGAGTGTGGGAGGGGTTAGCCCGCAACCCCCTCTCCTCTCTAGCTCGGAAATGGCTTTGCGGAAAATGCGCCTCCTCCCCTCGCCTCCGCCCCGGAGCCGCGGCAAAGGCGTTAAAGAGCCGCATGTGGCTCCGGGGCCGCGGGTTGCCGACCCCTGGGCTAGCTAGAAACTGTGTCTCAGGTGCAGTATCTGCTTCCAGTTTCTGGGAAAGTGGGTATAGGGTTGTATACAAATTTAATAAATAATACTAACCAAGGGTCATGCTTAAGTCAGATTTTGGGTATGTAAGATCCTTCATTTAGAACCTGTGACACACAAACACACACACATGCGCCTATGTTTCTCACAGCATTTGAATCTGGAGAAGTTGTGAAAACTCTGGATTGGTGTCTGAATGAAGGGTTGGACTGGATATGGGCCAAGAAACTGTATTTGAATCCTGGAAGGAGAGGCTCTTGGAGTGGGTGATTCCCCTACCTAGGAGACTGGAAAGTTATCTGTTCTCCATAGGGTTGTACTTCCTCTGAAGGAGCAGGTGCATAGCTTGGGAGCTCCCGGATACATCTCCATCACTAGATGCTCAAATGTCCTCTGTGACTAGAAGTGCCTTTTACCAGTTCTGCCTGGGTTGCAAGCTATGGCCATTGTTGCACAGGGATAGCCTGATACTGCAACATGCTCTGTGTGGAAATGTGATTGGGCTTCGTTCAGAAATTCCAATTGGAACAGAATGCAGCAGCAAGACTGTTCATGGGGCCACATGGCCAACAACATGTGACACCATTGTTAAAGCATCTGTGGTGGCTGCGGTCAATCACTGAAATTATCTGCAGGAGTGTGGTTGGTTATCCCCTGAGTTGATGAGGCTCATTTGACAGCAACTAGAAACTGAGCCTTTTGTTTTATTGGCCCAGTCCTGTGAACTTATCATTGAATAGATGCTTAGCAGGCACTTTCTGTTTTAAAATTTAAGCACCTGTTGAAAACCTTTCTGTGTCACCAACCTTATGGTAGCAATGAAGAAAAGATCTTTTGCTAATAGTTAGTGGGTCTCTGATTATAACTTTTTATGTGGTTTTTCTTGTATGGTTTTATGTACGCCTGTTGTAAACTACTCTGAATTTTAATGATTAGCAGTATATAAAGATTTTTGTTGATAAATAAGTAAAGCACACTTTCGCAATGGTGCAAACAAGTTTTATTTAAAACAACTGAGTAACATGCTGTGTTCAAGTTACAAGACTTCCAACTGTTCTACAGATGAGTTCTCACCATGTTTTTCTGAAGTTCTATATACACTTAAATTGGAATAAGTTCCACTGAACGTGGTGGAACTTCTGAGCAACAATAGAGAGGGTCAGACCATAAAACACATAAATTAGAAAAGAGTGGTTCTGCCAGCTGCAGGACATTCTTTGAATTTCTAATACACCGAATGTTATTACAAAGAACTGCTATGATTTTAAACATTCTAGCCTGAGTTATGAATTGTGTCAAAAAGCAGGGAGAGAAATCATGTCCTGCATTGTTCTTTAATCTTGCCATTCTTAGGTAAGACTGAACAAACCCTCTTTAATTCTAACATTTTGAACTGCTAGCTTGAAATGCAAGGAACTGAATGCACTACCACCAGCCCTTGGTTTTTAGTTCCTGCTAGCTCCTATGAGCAGAAACAGTTGGCTTACCCAGCCGGAAACCGTTCCTTCAGAGCAACTTCCATAGCTTCCTGCATTTTCACACATTGAGAGCTTTTGGTAACCATGCACGCAATTATTGTTAGAGCCTGTCTGAGTCTCATCTTGGTTGACTCCTTCACTCCCAGAAAGGAAAGGACATTTGGGGATGGGCAGTCAGCA